CCCCCAACCTGTACTGGTGCATGGGGTTATTCCTCCCCAGATGCAGCACCCTACACTTGCCCTTGTTGAATTTCATCAGGTTTCTCTCTGCCCAACTCTCCAGCCTGTCCAGGTCTCGCTGTATGGCGGCACAGCCTTCTGGCGTGTCAGCCACTCCTCCCAGTTTGGTGTCATCAGCAAACTTGCTGATGGTACACTCTATCCCTTCATCCAGATCATTGATGAGTATATTGAACTGGACTGGGCCCAGTACTGACCCCTGAGGGACACCACTTGTAACTGACCTCCAACCAGACTCTGCACCACCAACCACAACCCTCTGAGCTCTCTCTGTCAGCGAGTTCTCCATCCACCCCACTGTCCATTCATCTAACCCACGCTTCCTAAGCTTGCCTGTGAGGATGATGTGGGAGACAAGTTACCAAGTCAACATTGGTTTCAGTATACACAAATATCCACAGCAGGCCAAAGAAAGGATGACTTCCACCGGTTGAAGATGATCTCCCTTCTGTCTTCGTGGCTTGTTCAGCTCCACCTCTTCTTCAGACACCAAGTCCGTTTCCACTTGAAAATGAAACAGTCATTCCTATTGAGGCCAAGGACCCAACTCGTTCAGCTTCCCAAAAGCACCAGTTAAGCTTCCTCAATCCATCGTCCTTGTCACGGTCGTCTCAGAACACACCGGACTCCCAGAAGCTGGTCAACGTCAGTCCCTCCTGCTCTCTGTCAGGAGCCCGGTGAGCAGCACAGCTCTCGGTGGTTGTCCACAAAGAGAGAGATCTTAAGAAGTGTGTCTGAGTTGGAAGGAAAAAACCAACCCCGTTAGCTTAATTTTTGTTTTATCCGTATTCCGTACCCACGAAATGTAACTTGGTTCCAAAAGCAATAATGAAAAGAGTAAAGCTAACTTAGCAGACCAAGTGAAATGGATCGCTCCGCCTCTCGTTAGGCTGCAAGGAAGGATGTTGCTTTCGGCTGCGCCCAGGACGCGATGGCAAGTATTTACGACCGAAGCGATCCCCAAGATCTCAGAGCGGGTCGCAAAGATCAAGTGCAAACTGAGCAAGGTCACCCAACGCTACTGCGGCCAAGACGGCGAGCAATGCTGGGCCGGCGCGAGAGCCTTCAGCCCCCGGCGCTGAAACGTCAGCACGGAGCTCAAGAAAAGGTCTGCTGTGAGCAGAACTACCTTGAACAACGTCTTCCTCGTAGCGCTCCAAAATCCTCTCCCAAGAGCGCGGGAGGGCTTCCATGTCTGCCAGCCTGTCGCAGCTGATGCGGAACAGGAGAAGCTTGCTCTCCAGGTACCTTCGTGCCCGGTAAGGATAACAAAGAGAAAAAAATTTGCCCGCCAAACGCTGCCCGGAGAGCCCACGCTGCCGAAGGATACAAATGGCGGTAGTAGCG